TGATCGATATATAATAATATATATTGTTCTGTTATGATTGATGATGATTGTTGTTAATTATATAGTAATCGTTAATGAATTGGTGATTTGGGTTGATTTGGCATATAGGGTGTTTACAGTTTTTAGGGAAAGTTCTGTATGGCTTTTGAGGTATCGATAAAGTGTGTAGGTGATGATATTGGGATTAGGAATCATTTAGGCTGAATTACGTGTAATGTGGGTACTGATGTTAAGGTGTGAATTGGGATAGGAGATTAGAGTTAATTGGCCTAGATAGCAATCTGCAGAACTGTGAGAAATTGGTGAAATTGCAGCATTCGCTGGGCTTCGCCTGGCGAATGTTGGCGAAGGGAGGCGAGAGTTCGCCTGGCGAGCTGAGGCGAGTGGCAGCGAATAATTCAGAGTTAAGTCCCAGACCTAAAGGGTAGGAACTTCGCCTGGCGAGTGTGGCCAGCGAAGGTTCGCCTGGCGAATGAAGATTCGCCTGGCGAGTGCACGATAGTGAAAGAGGGCTTCGCCAGCAGGTTCGCCTGGCGAATGCTAGCGAAGGTTCGCTACGGGGCTTCGCCTGGCGAATGTCAGCGAACGTAGCAGAACCAGAATGTGATTTGTGTGATGTTTTGGCCTTGAGCTTGGGCTTGTGTGATCCCTTTGGCCTTGATGCACTGTAAGAATGATGAGTGTGGGAACTAACTTGTGTACTTGGTGATAGTGCATGTTTCCCGTAATAATGACTGGTGGACAATTAGTTGATGTATATGTATGTAGTGATCCATAGTATCGTGTATCCCCGAATAGTGGGATGTGTTTGTATCTTGGTGATAGAATATGAACTTGTTTACTATCTGGTTGATTTATATGGTGTTGGTGCATGTTATATCTATGCATATATACGTGATGTATAATGATGCGATCAGGTGGATCGTGTGCACGTAGTGTGCCTGAACATAATAGTTATGCATTGGTGTGTGCATATCATGGTGTCTTGGTGGGATGGATCATGTCTCGGATGGAGCGTAAGTGATCTGTCCGTACTCCTTTGTGGAGAATGGTGGGGTTGAATCATGTCTCGGATGGAGCGTAAGTGATTCACCCGTACTCTGTTGTGGAGAATGGTGGGTTCGATTGAATGAACCAATGAGTCGGTACCGCATGCATGGTGTGAGTTGCATAAATGCATTATAATACGTTATATTGTAATTTGAACAGTAGGTTCGTTATATGGTGTTGTTAGGGGTGAACCTTGGTGTGTTGGTGTATTTTACTGCCTTATTACATGTATTACATTACCATTATATTTTTTATCATGATTTCTCACCCCTTTGTTGTTGTTGTGGTCTGTGCTTCTTCGGAAGTACAGATAATCCAGGTGCTTAGCTAGCTTGGATATTGGTGTGATTGTCGAGTCTAGGATGCCCTGATACGTAGCACGGGACTTGGGCATTTTTATTTATTTTATGTTGAACTTATATTTTATTTTCCTGTGAACGTATCAAACTTTTATTGGATTTTAATATTTTTAATATTCCGCTGTATTTTGGAGAAAAACCTTTTTATAAGGAAACGTTGTTTTTATGTGATATCCCACTTGTGAGAATTGGAACTCTGATTTTGTTTATTTATAATGTTTATTAATTTAATTGATTTTGGGAAGTGGGGTGTTACAATTAGGCTGTGCAATCATTCTAAACTATAGTGAAATCTCTTTCGAGTCGAAAGGGGAATGGAGTACTCTCAGAGTGTGAGGGAAACCACTATAAATCTCTTGTGTCTCTTTTTATTTTCCGCACTTTACTTTCAAGTCTTAAACATCCTACCGGAAAAAGAACCAAGAACCGAAAAAGATTGAAAATAATTTTTGTGAACCTAACTCACCCCCCCCCCCTCTTAGGCGCATTTACAAGTTACACATTATAACCATATTTTGTCTTGCCTTGAATGTTGAGAAATGTTCTGATTAAACTATCACATACTTTTTTTTTATTGAGAAACTTATTACATCGGTTGGGCAAATGGACCGATGTAAAAAGTTTAATCAAATTTTTTTAATTTTTTATTGAGAAACTTATTACATCGGGTGGGCAACATGACCTGATGTAAAATGTATAATTAATATATTTTATTTATTTTTTTTATTAAGAAACCTATTACATTGGTTGGGCAACATGACCCGATGTAAAAAGTTTAATCAATTATTTTTAATTTTTTATTGAGAAACTTATTACATCGGTTAGGCAACATGCAGATAGTCCAAGTCTAAGGTTTCTGGACTCTTTTCCAAATTTTGGAAACAAAGAATTAATTTTCTTCCATTGCAAAGAATCAGCTACATGGCGAATTTGTCCATCACATTTTCTTTCTTCTACGTGCCATCTAAGATTCTTTGGGTCAATTTCATTAGCGAATAATCTCTTGAACCTTGAAATTATTGGTAGGTACCATACTACTTTCGGGGGAGGACCCTTTTTTACCACCTCATCACCATTAGAATCACCATCTTTCTTTTTGTAGCATGACGCCTTGCACTTCATACAGTGATTATAGTTTACATACCTTTTTTGTATAGTATGCAGTCATTAGAGCATGCATGTATCTTTTCATACTCAAAATCCATCGGATACAATAATTTCTTCGCCTCTTAATAATGATTTGGCATTACATTACCTTCTGGAAGCATTTGTGTCAACAATTCAAGCAATTCGGTAAAAAATTTATCAGGCCATCCATTATTTGCCTTCAAATTAAACAATTTTAACACGGCTGACAACTGTGTAAAATTTGTGCATCCCGGGTACAAAGGTTTATCCTTGTCACTGCATAAAGTATCATACACATATGCCCTCTTAAACGAATCTTGTCCAATATCACGCATCATGTCTTCTAGACGATCATCCATTTCTACACTAACATTATCTCTTTGGGACACATTTGACTTTACTACTACTTCACCATGCCATATCCATTGTGTATAACTTTGACAAATCCCTTCACAAATTAGATGATCCATAATTTCTTTCTTATTAAGTTTTGGTTCTTGATTTTCACAACGAACACATGGACAGAGAAAAAGCACATGGTGACTTTTTTAGCATTACTTTTAGGAGGAGGAAGATTTTTTTTAGCATTACTTTCAGCAAATTGTATAAATTCCATCACTCTATGTTTGTACTCAGCAATTAATCGATTAGCTCTCATCCAACTACGATCCTTACCTATGTTCCAAAATTAACACATACAAAGTTAAATCATTGTGACGCCTACAATAGTCCCTCTTTTGGACACATTAGAGAGAACAAAAGTCTCTACGTGCAAACACGTTGCATTAAATTAAATCACAAAAATTATTCCTAACAAAATTATTTGACATTTTTATCTTTAATTTAAACTCAAATAGAACAAAATTGACATCAAAATTATTTGACATTTTTATCTTCAATTTTAACGCAAATAGAATCAAATTGACATCAAAATATTTCAATCATTTTTACAAAAAGATATTATTAAAAATAGTAAAGTCATGTACTGGTAAAAATACCTTATAGATCGTTGTTATCATCGGCAGAGTACTGAAAAGTAGAAAAAGATCAAGGTTGTCTCTCCAAGCCAACAAGCACAAGGTTGTTTCCCCTAAGACTTTACCAAACTGAAAAGCCAAAAATTCCAAAACAATATCTTCGACTAGCACCAATTAACCGGCCACTTTTCCATATTATTGAAGAATTAAATAACCAATATATGATGACATTAATTCATTGAAAATATATGAAACAAACTGAGTTTTTTACACACTAAATTTCAAATTTTCCAATTCTTACAAAATGGTATTATTAAAAACAGTAAAATAATGTACTGTTAAAGATACCTTAATGGCGGTGAAGAACCACGCGAACAACGACAGAGGAAGAAGAATAAAGGACGGTGGCGGTAGTACCACGCAAACGACGACGGAGGAAGAAGAAAAAAAAATGGCGGACGGTGGCGCGGAGGAAGAAGAAGAAGAAGACTGGCGATAGATGATGACAATGGCGGCAGGAACATGGCGGACGGTGGCGAGGAGGAAGAAGATGAAGAAAAACGAAAAAGGTGGAAGGCAAGAAAAAGAAAAATGGGGACGACAAAGGTGGAAGAAGATATTTGGGGATTTGGAGAATGTTATGTTTTAGATAGGGTTTTAACATTTTACACTATATTTTACACCGGTTGGGCACCATGATCCGATGTAAAAAGTATAATCAATTTTTTTTATTGAGAAACTTATTACATTGGTTGGGCAAATGGACCGGCGTAAAAAGTTAAATCAATTTTTTTAATTTTTTATTGAGAAACTTATTACATCGGGTGGGCAACATGACCCGACGTAAAATGTATAATTAATATTATTTATTTATTTATTTACTGAGAAACCAATTACATTGGTTGAACAACATGACCCGATGTAAAAAGTTTAATCAATTTTTTTTAATTTTTTATTGAAAAACTTATTACATCGGGTGGGCAACATGACCCGGCGTAAAATGTATAATTAATATTATTTATTTATTTATTTACTGAGAAACCTATTACATTGGTTGAACAACATGACCCGATGTAAAAAGCTTAATCAATTATTTTTAATTTTTTATTGAGAAACTTATTACATAGGTTGGGCAACATGGCCCGATGTAAAATATTTAATTAATATATTTTATTGATTTTGTAAAAAGTTTAATCAATTATTTTTAATTTTTTATTGAAAAATTTATTACATCGGTTGAGAAACTTATTTGTAAAGGTGAAAAAGAAACGAAGGAAAAAGTAAAATTAAAGAGAAGAGAAACGAGGAAAGTGAAAAGAGAAAATTTGACTAAAGCGAACACAAAGTAAAAGCATAAGAAGAAATACAAGAATAGTATATAGTAGTAATATATAAACCACATTTATTTTACTGATATGAACCACATCTATCGTGGTGATAACAGTACAAGTGATATTTTATTTATGTGGTAATATATAAACCACCTTTACAGTGGTAGTAAGAATACATGTGCGTTGTTATTAGAACAAACGGAAACAGCATTATCTTTGGGCCTTGGAGGACAATTGATGAAGTTAATACCATCGAAATCTAGACACAGCCCAATTTCATGGAGATACACTTCTGGTTTATTGTCTAACTGAAAACAGCGAAGTTCAGGATCTTTTCCAGTAACCTTGGCTATGGCTTTCTTAATCTCTAATATAGGATGCTGTTTTATTGAATCTGGTTTAATGTTGGCATCGTTAAGTGCTTTTAAAATGTAAACCTTATCTTTTATATCTAAGGCACGAGTAAAATACTCCAACATATTAAACTTGACTTCTGAACAAGTCCCATGCTTTGACCATTCATGAGCCCAAAAACTCTCTTCTTTTCCCTTGGTGATATCCGGCCATGAAACATTGACTCTAGGAAATAAAGTATGGATCTACAAGCAACAAAATGGAATGAATAAATAATCGAAATAACATGGAATTTACAATTGAAAACCAAAATATGCATAACTCACCAAAGTACTTTTAAATGGGGTTCGAGTGCAGGTTTCAGGATCACTGCTGCTGCTGCTGTTGCTGGGCCAAAGCCCGTGCAATGTAAAATTCTTTGGATGTCTGATACACTTTGTGTTTGGTTTGGTTCGGAGACATGTCGCTGGAGGCCACTGTTCCACATTCTTCAGGAATTCATACTGTGCTATCGAATAGTTTGGCACATAAACAAGAAAACCTATAACAAAGCTTAAGATCAATTTCATAGTGAATAGCAAGTATTTCAATGTGTAAATAATAGGTGAATTTGTGTAAATATATAGCCTAAATTGTTACTAATTAAGCTTATACATCAATTTCAAATTGGATTTTCATTTCAAGTAATTAGTAACTTAGCCTTATTAAAGTTATTGCGTCTTTCATCTGATTACTCATTGTTTTTTTTAAATACACTCAAATCGGTTTAATGCAATATTCAAGTTAGCAATGTTTTATTAGCTATGCTATTATACACTCAAAAGTAGAATTGTATAATATTTGAAGCTATTTGAAAAGAATCTTCCAGCTTTCACACTTACCTCTAATAAACCATTCATAATTTAACATGTATTTACTTAGAAATATTGCTATTTTTTTTAAATCATTATCATTCTTTACTTTTATTCAAATCCTGGAAAATATTATTATTAATTCAAATATTATTAATGTTCATTTCTACAAGGATTATAAAATATATTATTAAAGTGATCTTTTAAATCATTTTAGTTCTTATTATTCATTGAAAAAAAAATTACTATAAAATCATACATTAGAAAACTTACTGTCTCTTTTCGTGTGAGCATGAAGTTTCTTAAGTGGTTCGTCATATGTGGGAGTTTTTTTTCTTGAGGGGGAGTAAAGTGTAGTTTGTTCTTCTGTTTTTCTGATATTATATCAGATGTCATAACATTATGTCATGGTTGTACTACTACTTAGGAAGAGTAGTTGTGTTTCTTGTTGTTGCTTGCGTGCGATTATTCGGGGGAAGGATGATAGATTTTCATGCATGTTGCTGCTATTGAGAAGATGTGGAGCCTTCGGCTATGTCTGAGAGAAGGTATTCTTTACAGTAGGTTGTAGTTTTCAGGGAGAGTGAGGCTGAGGTGGCTGTTGCTTTCTTTTGATATCCTCCTTCAGGGGGAGAACTGATTTTGTGTGACAAGGGAGTTGTGTGTACTTGTTTGTTGTGTAGCTTCCTTGGTACAGCCTGTACAAAGCTTGGATGTTCTCATGCAACCTGTTTTGTTGTACCTCTGGTGAGGTTATAATGTCAGACAAGATATCTTGACATTGAGTTGTCAAGTGGGTCCTTTTGCCTTGACAATATGGATGTGGTTCTATATATGTTTTTTTTAAGTGTTTGCTTCCGCTTGTGTGCCTCTGATGTGCATTCTGAGACAGGTCATGATTCTTGGAATGGCCCAAGTAACAACGTTGTTTGTGACTAGGAGAACTTATTTTTCTCTACAGAAGGTTGTGGGTCTTAAAGGAGGTTCTGTTGTTTTGATGTGAAATGTCTAATATGTTGTCTTGATATTGTGTTCAGGTTTTAAGCTGATCATTCTTAAATTTTTTTAGGCAGGGAATTTAGTGGGAAGCTTCATGTTATAGAGCATGTTTTTTTGCCTTTGAGTGGTTCATATGAGGGTTCATAAATTCATAAATTCATAAATTTATCTGGGCAAAGATTTCAAAGCCCATGGGCTGTTGAGGAGTATTTAAAGACAACCTAAATCTAATGACGATAATGGTTTTTCACTTGTGTAAAAATTAGGGAAAGTTTTAGAAACTTAGGTTTTGAGAATCTCTTGTGTGTGTGACTTTGTAAGTCACCCTTTATAGAGAGAGTTGAGCCTAACTTTGGTTAATTTGTGAGAAGTGTTAACTTAGCTTAGTTGTCTTCTCTTTCATTTGTTTGTTTTCTTCTTGTTTATTTATTGTTTTTTTATTTCATTATTTGCTTATATTATTATTATTATTATTATTATTATTATTATTATTATTATTATTATTATTATGTTGGGTCCTTTGATCGTGGGCTTTGTGAGATAGGCTCTATACCCGAGCCTGAGAAGAAATATAAGCTTAGGATGGTGGTTTTGTAGTAGAGACTTATGTAGAGTCTTTCTCGTGAGAACGATACGAAAATCCCACTTAGAGTAGATTCTCTTGGAAATGTTATTACTTTGATGAACCTTCATCACAATGATAATGTTTTCAGGCCTGAATCGTTGACTCTAAGCACCTTTAACCCGTTCTATCCATGGTGGTTATGTAGTGTTAACTGTCATATCCCAATTTTATTCTACATGTATATAACTTTCACGTGTACTTCCATCTACTAACATGTTATTCAAAAATCCAAAAATATGTTATTACTCTCGTCTAAGTCCAAGTTTCAGTTGAAGATTACAGGACAAGTGTATGTGTGGTATTGATTGAGGTTCATATGGTTGGTACTAATCTTGGTCAGGCAAGGATTATTTCAAGATCAAGTACATGGTATGCAAGATTTATGTGGGGTGTGTTTGAAGCTTCAGTTAGGGTTTCTGTGTGAACTCAAGTTCATGGGTCAGGTTATCAGATTGTTCAAAGTCAAGTGCTTTAATGACTAAAGATCATCAATGACTGGTTCGTGCTTCAATCAAGGTTATCACATTGAAGATCATTAGGGTTGATACGTGATTCAAACTTTCAAGGCTAAGATTGGTTCATGGTTTCTTAAGGGCAATTCACTCGTATTATTTTCTCAATTAACCTTTCTATTCATCCACTTAGTATATTAAATCCATTTTTATCCTTAACCATAATCCAATCCCATTTTAAGCTTATTTATTTTAAACCATGTTTAGATCCATCATCTAATTAGGTCTATTTCCATTTTATTCGATCCTTTCTTTTTTATTATTATCAAGCCCATCAAAAATTACAAGAAAAAAATGAGGGAAGGCCCATGATATTATTGTCTATATTACAAGAGAATTGGCACTAAAAATAGAAACCAAAAGCCCATATGTTTATTTACAAAAAATATACTAAAAAAAAAGGGTCATATAGCTCTTAAGCCCATTACACTTTTCCCATTACAGGAAACTACAAAAGAATATATATATATATATATATATATATATATATATATATATATATATATATATATATATATATATATATATATATATATATATATATATATATATATATATATATATATATATATATATATATATATATATATATATATATATATATATATATATATATATATATATATATATATATATATATATATATATATATATATATATATATATATATATATATATATATATATATATATATATATATCCACAGCCCACATCAGGGCATTGTATTACCTCATTCAAGCCATTACACAACATGTACTTGCATCAACATAACCTTTTGCAATATACCATAATCACGACCAAATTATCCAATCCATATCATGGATACACACAACATGTTACTACATCTTGCAGCCATCACCATTCAATACAACATACACATAATACACCGTAAAACGTATCCCACATGAGGGAACCTTCCAGCCTGCATAAATCTAACAACAAAAAATACGAGCAATACGCAGTGCACATGATTGTTCCACAACAATGTACAACCTGATCAGCTGCAAAATTCACACGTGAGAAATACGCAAACCTGCACATCAGAATGCATCAAAACAATAATGATTACCAGCTCACGCATATAAACGTGACCACACATGAAGATGCAAATCTGCAAAATATCTGCAAAACGACCTCACAATGATAAAGCGACAACAAATCGTGATTTCCAATCCTTACCTCTCCATGTTATAAATAGGAAAGCTTCAATCTTCATTTGAGGAGAAAGCTCTTGAGCCAACAAATCTCTGACCAATCTCGTCTACGATTATTCCTCAAACAATCAACCTTGATGCTCTTTAAAACCTACAAACCAACCTCACTCTTCTTCACCCATCAACGATGAACCAACTGAACCTCCAAACTGCAATATTTCTTCACCATTTTTTTACCATTTTTTTAGTGGATGAATGGGTCGTAAGGCCCATGATGATTCCACATGTTCATATACGCTTCCTTCATGCGCCTCCCCCCTCTCTTTTTTATTTATTTTATTTTTTCTCAATTATTTCCTTTTGAAAAAAGTTTTTATATGCATTTTATTAATGGTTTGGGTTTTGTTGAATCATAACTGGTTCCATTCCCTTTGTTTTATGACTTTAATTTCTCGTTTCTTTTTTTTTTTCATTTCGATTTTATTTTCATATCAATTTTGGTCGATGAAGTCCAAATATCGCGAATGTCGATTATCAAAGTTGTTAACCTTCATTATTCTAAATCTGTAGTGAATGACCGTTGAGATCATTTTCTATACTTTGAGATCGTGATAGATTACCTTCGATTAATCGATGCAAGCTTGTGATTAATACAAGATCGTTCACTTTTCTTTTCGGGTGACACGATTTGTTGAGAATGATATACATATCATTTCTCTATCGTGTTTTAGCACAAATACCATCATTGTGCGGCCTCTTATAGCATGACCTTTGTCATATATCTTGCTCCGATGGTTTAGCGCTATAGTGGATCCAATTCATCTGATTGAATAACAATTAACGATTAATCATTAACCACTAACTTTAATTTCTATTCAATATACTCTTATTTTACTTTTCCGTCAATATATCTTGTTCATATTATTTTGTCCATATTATTCATCTGTTCATATTATTCGTATTCATGTCTTGATCATACTATTCAAAAACACACTAAAAATATCAAAACTCTAAAAGACTCATGTATCCTACTATTGAACTATATATTTTGATTCTTTTAGTCTTCAAACTCAGTACATTTGTTTCTTTGTAATTTAACTTGGTCACATAATATTACTTGTGCTACCTTATGTCATTCTATATTTCATTTTGCATTAATTTTTCCCTGTTTATTTAACAGATATTATGTTCTCTAATTTTTTACTATTAACTTTATCTTTCCATATAAACATCATTTTCTTTTCTTACATTCTATATTATGCTCCTTTTCATTTCTTTTTCAATTTCTTCTTTTACTCTCGCAATCAATGCGCGTCCCATACCAGTACCCATGCGAATGCACGGGTATTCCACTAGTTATGAGTAGCATAGAACACAATAACATATCAAGAAAAATTGTATAAGTAGACTTCGTCTTCTTTCTCTCTT